TATTTAGGGATAGTTGAAGAAAGTCTCCAAATAAATACTATGTGGAGCAATTTTTCACAAAACATCACGAGCCCGACCAACGGGACATGCAAAGGCCAACATCAAAGACTCCATATAACCAAAGACGCAGCCAAACGGGATCGCAACAGACAACGGAAATGATAAATTTCCACGGAGGTCTTGACCAGAAGACATTGCTGGAAAGGGTGCATCAAAACAACGATTGCTACTTAGGAAAATACAGAAAGTAAGGAAATACTCACAGCCATTAGAGAGGAGGGCGATGCGGCAACGCTTGATGGACTTGATGAGGGTTTTGGTTTGGGAGCTTTGTTAGGGTTTATTTGGTGGAGAAATCAGAGGGTGCACAACAGCCAGCGTGTAATTTAAGAAAAAAAAAAAAAAAAAGGTGGCCACGGTACTTGAATAAACATGAGGGCGTTTCAAGGAAAAAGGAAAGAAAGAAGGACGTTTGGATGAGAAATTATTAAAATGTCCTTCTCATTAAATATAAAAAAATACAATGGTTCCTAAATGTGGGACTACGGGCCAACCTGACTCATATGAATTAATTTATATAAATTAAAAGAAATATAAGTTGTATTAGGTTCAATTCATTTTTCTATGGGTTGAAAAAATCTCAACTTAACTCATCTCTTAAAAATTGGCTGGCTAAATGAGCCAACCCTCCAACCCATTTTTTAATTTATTTTTTATGAGTTTTTTTTTTTAAAATACACCTAAATAATAAGTTTTAATTTAATCCTTTTTCATGATTCATTTTACATATACAAAAATTTAATTTATAATATTGTACAAAAATATATAAATTAATATAGCTAAATAAAACTATGCTTATTATGGTTTATATCCACAAAATTTTCTTCTTTTTTAATTTTTTAAAATAATAGGGTTAACCGGCCAACTAACCCATTAGGTTAACCCATATAATTCACAGGGTTATATGATTCAAGTAAAAAAAAAAAAACTCATTTTTATTTAGATCAATTTTTTTTTAACTCAACCGACCTTTATGATCAATTATTTGAGTCAACTCATATAACCTGAGTCATCTTCCTCCCTTTAGCAATTCCCCACACTAATGAACTAAGTATATTGTGACATGCTCTGTCCTATTTGCTTTTTACTACATATAGTGAGAGAAAGCCATGTCAATCAATCGTTATTTCCTTTTGGCCGAAAACTCAATCATATTTTTCTAGCAAAAAAAAAAAATTCATCATATTTTCACACATTACTTTCATTTTTTATTCAACTATTTGCTGTAATATATCTTCAATTGTCTTCTTGTTTCTTCAAGACCTCAACATCTTTGAATTTTGAAAAGTCTTCATGAAGAAAATTTTGAACAATTAACTTCTACATTTTGCAAAAGTCTTCAATAACATTTTTTTTTTGGAATGGAAAGAAAATATAAAGGAGAGAAAATGGAGAAAAAATATATTAAAAAAGACATTATTCATTCTGTTTTCTCCTAATTTTCACCATGATGGAAGAAAACCTAAAGGAAAAGCTTTATGTTAGGGAAGGGAAACATTTTTTTCTTCTACTTTTCTCCAATATTTTACTCTTATCCCTATTTTCTTCTCATTCAAATGAAGGGTAAGAGTTTTAAATTTTCTTTAAGAGTTTTCATTAATCTTTAAATGTCTTCAACATATCTTTAATAAAAATTTCTGCAAAAGCTTCAATTATCTTCCACCTTTATTTAAAATTCAAAAGTTCTCATAAATCTTTAAAAGTTTTTAATTTTTTTCAGAGCCTTCATTGATATTCAAAAGTCTTTAATGTATTCAGGAAATGGTTTACAAGTAGCTTCAATTATCTTCTATATTTTTTCAATAATCTTACACCTTCTAAACGCTATTACTTTTTTTTATAAAAATTATTAAATCAATGCTTATTTAATGTTTAACTTCTAATAATTTTTATTATTATGCACATCGCATGGCTGTAAAATCTAGGATTATTGCTAAGTGGCAATTTATATAACCAAGCTTAATAAGGGTGTGAGCGGTAGGGATTTAGTTCTTCGAGCAAATAGTTAGATGTTCTTTGTACATGGAAAAAAAAATTCTAATTGAGAGGACTCTACTATTTAATGTCAAACTTGAATAAATTAATATTATTGTACAAACATTATTTTTGGAGCAAAATAATTGTACTAAACATTTGATTATCGAAGAATGTGTTGAATGTCAATAATAAAATTTTGCTGAGAAAGAAGAAGCTTAACAGATTGGGAAGAAGTTTTGTCATTGGCATCATCATCTATTTAAGGATAAGGGGAGCTTTGCAAGCACGAGGAAAGGATAGCAAGAGATGTCTCTCGTGAATGGCAAGGTTCAAAAGGGTAACCAAAGGAGAGCATAAATGAATGACATTAGAATTACAAAATTATACTTGATCCAGCTTAATTAGAAGTCTCGAGTTCAAGCCCTAAGGAGGCAACAATGATTAAATTCTCAGTGGCCAGTATGTTCTTCGAAAAGATGCCTATAATTTACTAACTGAATTAGTTTAGGTCAAAGACTTGAAATATCATAGTAATAAGAGAGAAAAAAATAGAGGGAGAATTAGACATTGTCACAAAGGTAATGGTCAACCAAGTAGTTTGCTCACTACTAGGTACACATATGTGAAGAATGCCAATGAAAGTGTTATAAGAAAGAGGAATCGAAGTGGTCTTATGTAATAACTAAGAGCATTGAGTATTAGACATAGATCTCCTAATTGAGCTAACATGAAAATAATTTCATATTGGTGGCACCATATATGGAGATTGTGAGACATAAAATGTCCTAATGGAACCCACAACGATTAAGATTGATGCTTGTCCAATAATCCAAATCACTTGGCATGGTTAATCTAGCAGCAAACAAGGTTGTTATTCTAAGAGTTGAAACTATTATTAAAGTGTCAATTCTATATTTGTACTGTTTGGTTATGGATTCCTTTTTCTTCACTTTAGTTTGTGTGTTTTTGAAAGTGAATCTCATCATCATGATGTTTTGAGGCATACTAGTTCATTGCAACACAATCATGTAAGTCACTGGAAATATACGTTTGGATTTTGTTGCATTCAAACATATTTGTGCCAAAGATGGATTTTGCATTCAAACTTATTTGTGCTAAAGATGGATTTTAGTCAAGCCATAGGTCCGCAGTGTTTAAAGTTGTTTGGTTTTGTTGGCTTAGCAAAGCAAGATCAATTCTTTTATCTTGTGTAAAGGCATGCACAATTTTAAGGACTTATCGTCTTTTGCATGCTTCAATCTTATTTTATTAGCTTATATGTCACTTTCATTCTTCTTTGAAGTTTGCTTTTATTCTAGTCCTCTCAGTGTGTTTCTTTATTCTTTGATCATATTATGATTTTTGTTTTTCCTAATTATAAATGAGAGAATACTATTTAATAGCTACCATGGTCAAATGTGACAAGCCAGGACCATGAATATCCAAAAAGGCTATTAATGTGAGCTAATTTGAGATTGAAGATCCAGGATATGAAGTTAATAGAAGGAAATAAGGGTATTATAACCTATTCTTTATTTTAAAGAGAAAAACGCTTATTAGTTACCAAGTCTGATGCCATACTGGTTTAAACCTTATGAAATATTAGTGCTACTGAATGTAACAATTTTAGAGCGATCAATTCTTTACTTTATATAGGGTTTTGTTCATTTAATCCATTTTGTATTTGTTTTTAGTGGCCACCGATCTAGCAAATACCATTTGTAGACTTTGACACATGGTGTGTGTTCTCATAAATCAGTTTAGCATGATAGCTGTATCTAGCTTTTAATTGATCACATCTTGATATGTGGGTTATTTATGACAAACCATCCTATGTAGAGTTCCACACTTACTCTAGAAATTGCTCACAGTTGTCAAAATACACAACCCTTGCACAGCACACAATGATCAAAGCCTTCCTACTAACTAATCCTTATACATAAGACACACACAAGATTAATTATTAATTACAAACCATATATACATTACCAACTATCATGTACAACAAGTCCTATTATGACACAATAGTACAGATGAATAAGTATAACATAATATATAAAGGACAATAGACAAGTAAATATATTTGATCCTTAACACGTGTGATTCTTCATTTCCTATAGATAATCACACATCCTTCAACTAGATCAAAGGGTGTTAGAAGTTAAGCACTAGAACCTTTGGGGTTGGCATCACTTTTTGCTTCAGCTATCTTTGCAAGGAGAAGAAAAGGATAATAGGAAATATATCTAATGAATGGTATAGTTGAAGAGGACGGCAGCCAAAAGAGGGTGTACAAGAACACAACTATGAGGATCAAAACCACACTCAACACCAAGAAGGTAGTAGCCAACCAGCTAAGTTTGCTCACTATAAGGTATACACCTGCCAAAAATGCCAAAGATAGTGTTGTCAAAGAAATACCTAGGACTGGCATTGCACAGTTCAGAGCAAAAAGCATCAAATGGAGATCATCTAAACGAGCTCACATGAGAATTATAGTTGTAATAATAGCCCCAAATACAGAGATGGTGAGGGAGAGAATGAACAAATGGAACATGACATGATTCAGCATAACAGCTGTTCCTTGATCCACGTCACCCGGCATAGCAAACCCAGTAGCAAAGGATGCTGTTATTATAAGGGTTGAAACCAATATCAAAGTGTCAATTCTGTCTTTATATTGTTCGGTGCTAGGAGATTCTTTTTCTTCACTAGCTTTTGCGTCATTTGAAAGCAACCTAGAAGAACTTCGAGGTGTACTAGTAGATTGCAACGCACTCCATGTAAGTCGCTACAAATAATTAAACACATTTATTTTTGTTATAACAAAAGATTTTTATTAAATCTTTAAAGAAGAATCATGATTTTGACTTAAAAAATTGAACTTGTTAAATTATGAACAATAACTTACCTGTGTAAGGGATGGATTTTTGTCATGCCTTAAGTCAGCAATATCTTGAGCTGTTTGGTTTTCTTGGTTAAGTATAGCAAGATTGACTCTATTGTCCCAAGTCAACCAATGCACAATTTTAGGGTGCCAGTGAAGGGTGGCCAAATGTAAAGGAGTATTCCCATTATTATCCTTCTGGTTTATCATAACCTCAAGCTTAGGATGTTGGAGGATGTACCTAACTACCTCATATTTCCACTTTTAGCAGTAATATGGAGCAAATTTTGGCCATTTTTGTCTAGCATCTCTGTGGGATCTGGGTAGTATTTTAGTAGCTCTTTAACTACTTTTAAGTGACCTTTACTACATGCCAAATGAATAGGAAAGAAGCCATTATTGTCCCTTTCCATGATGCATGAAGAACATTTCTTTACCAAGTAGGAAACACCTTTATAGTACCCCATAAAGGCTGCCTGATGAAGAGGAAGCTTCCCTTCTTCATTTCTCAAGTGTATCCAATTTGGTTTCTTACTCAAAATGGCATGCAACATATCTGTGATAGACAAAAAATAATAATTAAGATTTAACAAATGAATAATATTTCAGTAATATAGTAAAGAAACAAATCCTTGAGTTAGTGACAACTACCCATATTTCTCTTGATGAGTGCTGGAACAAAGGGAGATTTTCCTTAAGGCTTTAAGTCATATTGGATGCAGAGATCCAATAGTTGATCAACAACTTCCTTACAACCAACCTCAATGGCCACGTACAATAATGATTTCCCTTCGTTGTTGACTATAAATGCTGCTAGTTGATTAACAATTCCCTTGAAATCAGCCTCAAGCTCTGAACCATCCTTAATGAAAGGGGCTTCAAAGGCGTGGAAAATATTAGCCCCATTATGGGCATTGACCATAAATGCCTCATGAACAAATGTGTTTCCTTGTTTATTTCGTAAAAGTGAGAGACATTAAGAGCATCATTTGCAAAGTAGATTGATCTTGCTGATGACCATCTGTTTCACGTCTCACAAAAGGCAACCAAGAATTCAAGAGGAATTGAATGGTAGAGCCATGGCCTGCTCTTGCAGCAACATGTAATGCAGTATTATAGTTGTTGTTGGTGACTGTGAAAAGATAGGGAGCTTGTTGAGCTACCTTCTCTACCATTGCGTTATTTCCATAAGCAGCTGCTAAATGTAGGACTGTATTCCCTAAAGGAGTATGTTGCTTATAAATTGCATTATCAGTTACAATGAAATCTTTGTTTGAAGTGGCAACATTGGAATCCATGGAAACATATGCTGCTGTAATCATGTTCAAGTCTTTGTTGGGTCTATGTTCATACTCTGTTAACTTGTGCTTCAAACCTGATGATGAAATTTCCATCCCTCTTGAGAATCTCACCACTCGCATTTGAATGTCCCCTGTTACTTCTCTTGGAGCTAGAGGCATATCTTCCTCATCAATATATTCACTTTCTCTATTATTGTTTGACTTTAACTTGAATGCTCTCCCTCTTCCTTAGACTCCATGGCTTTGCTCGAACACAATTGTTACTCCAGATGGTTCACTTGATGATGAGAAGACATATTTCCAGTTGGAATCTAGAAAACATTATGATATGTTAATAGTTCATTCTATAATGGCAAAGCATAGTGATGAAAATTCACATACCACAATATATTTCAGTATTAGATTCACTGGGCCATGAGAAGAAAACATACCCTCGAACGAAACCTGATAGGTTTGCTTGAAATTAGATTTTATGTGAAGCAAGTTACGTGTAGAAAGCAAGAATTTTAATTAATTCATTTCGAGTGATAGTAAAGCAAAGGAATGAGAATGGCATACCCTTTTGATTTTCATTTTCAGTAATGGTTCTAGAATATCTTATCTCCAGTTCGTGTTCTGTTCGATCCTCTTTCATCTCAGGTACAAGCCAAGTTATTCCATCTTCTCCTCAATCAAAAAAGCAAATAAATTAATTATATGTTATATACTTCGTAGAATTTTCATGTTAAATATTATGTATCATAATTTACAAATACTTCATTTCAATCTTATTTGTCATACTGGAAAACAATATAATTAATTTTCTCTAATGTGTGTTTGGTTTGGATTAATAAAAATTTAGATTTGAACCAAATCCTTAATTTGGATATGACAAAATTTATGAATTTGAAAATCTAAATCTAAATTTATTTTTTATTATATATTTTTGTAATTTTAAATTTATTCTACACTTTAGTCATTTTAAATTTTTTGTTATATTTATATTTTCACTATAGATGCCTCTATCATTCTTGTGTTTTTTTTTTGTCTTTCACTATCGCCTCTCGTTAATTGAAAATTAAAAGTAAATTCATCACTCCTAATTTTCTATTTTTGTTTCAAATTTTAACTCATTTCTTTTCTTTATTAAAACTTTTTTGAACTATCCCAATAAAGAATTTTAAATACATAAATTTTAAATATAAAATTTAAAATATGAGATTTTAAATTTAAAAATCAAATTTAAATTCATTTATCCAAATGCTACCTAAAGTCATTTTAAGCAATATTAAAAAATCATAAGAATAAATATATATGAAATAAAGTTGCACATATCTTAATCTATTAGTGGAAAATATAAAAAGCATACTAGACATAAAATATAATGAGACAATGAGTGTTAGGTCCTGCTTAAATTTTTTCAAAAATAAATTATAAATATCAATTTAAATAGTTACATTTGATATTTAAACATTTATTTATAATTAAAAATTTTTAGATTTTTAATTATTTTGATTGATATTTTTAACTCAATTTAATGTTTTGGGATTTAATTATTATTCTTCCAACTATAATTAAGTTTTTCATAAAAATCTAGTTGTTTGGGGCTTTTGAAATTCGAAATTTGCATTTTAATCGTAACAAAACTAAAATATATCTCTATTCTCTTCTCTAAATTAAACAAGAGATCAGTAAAATCCCTCTTCTCCCTGTCCATTAAACTATAAAGTATAAACAAACCCTTGTCCAATTGCTCTATTGACAGGAAGAAAATCAATATCCTAAAAAAAAAAACATTTAAGTTAAGAATATCCAATGAGTTGATATAAATTAAAAGAAGAATACAACAGAAACAGACATGGAAGAAAATGGCCAAGAGTTGGAAGCACTTACTGCTGTCTGGCCTTTGTAATTCCATCTGCGGAATCGGTGATGACCCTTTCACTTTGTGGGCTCTTTGTTCCTTTCTTACAAATGCCAATTCTGAAATCATATCACATCGTCAAAAGATACTTTAGTTATAAAGCATTATATTATTTTATCATGATAAAAATAATTACGAAACATTGATATCAATATTAAATGTATTTTAATTTAAAATAAAGCTATGTACATATATTAAAAACATTTAATTAGTTGACTAAAAGAAGCAGAGCACTCCTCCAGCAGTGATAGGAACCCAAACCAGACAAACAAGCGGCTTGTTTTGGCCATTTAAAGTTACTATTAACTGTTCTATGAACGGATTGAGCCGTTTTGAATTGGAGACCAAGCAGGGTTGGATAGATGGGGTTTTGATTGAACTAAAGAGAAAAAAAGGGGAAGAAGCATCAGCAAAAATCCCAGAACCTACCTTGTCGATTGAAAAGCTTGGAGACGAAACTGAAAAAGATGATCGAAATGAAAACTGGAGAACCTGCTACGACCTTGGAAACCAAAAGTATTTATCCGGTTCCGGTGGATTCAGGAGTGAAGACGACGAAAGAAGAAACAAAATGAAGGACGTGATGGAAATGAAACCCAAACGAAAACGTAACATATTTGAAAAGCCAAAGGCCCAAACCTAGTCTGTCAATGACTCAATCATCATGTGGGGGTGAGAGAGAGAGAGAGGGGAGCAAGGGAATGAGTGCTGTGAAAGCAAACATTGACAAATATCACAGTATGGAAAATATTTAAATATAAATATTCATAAATTTTTATTTTAACCTCAATTTACAAACCTTAATTTATTATAATCCCAGTTGGAAATTTTTATCCGAGAAAATAGAAGAAGGATAAAGGGATTAGGGAAGAAGCTTCTTCTTCCTTTGTTTGACCAATAGTAAGAAGAGGGAAGCTTCTCCCTATTAAATGTATTATTCTTAAAACCATTTTCTTTTTCTTGTAACTCTTTGTTTTTTGCTCATTGGAAATTATGAAAATGTAAAATTCAAAAAAATTATTTTTTTATACAAATTGATTTATAAAAAGAACAATAAATTTTTTTAGGATGTGATTAATATATAAACCTTGAAGAAGCTAAGTATAGATGCGGCACTCACCGGCGTGTGACCACTGCGATTCCATTTGCGGAATGAGCGATGAACCTTCAACGTACCTCTGCGTCTGCGTTTCCAGTGTGAGACTGAAAGACCTTCACGAGGCTCCTTTATTATAGGAACCAGGAACCACCCATCGCCCATCAGCTTCAATTATTCAGTTCTCTTTAATTATTCCAATTATTTTTCTCTCTCAAATGGAGGGCACTCAACTTCCTTTCTTTTTAATTATTTTATTTTATATTTACCATTACAAACTATAATATTCATATATTTTCCTAACAACCCAGAGGAACCAGTCAGGAATGGACACCCCGATTGCAATGTCCGGATAAAAGTGAGCCCTATCATGACAAAGGCTAAAACAAACCCAATCATTTAAAAAGTATATATTTAATTAATGCGTAGAAAGTGTACAGCTTTTATTAATTATACACACACACACACTTATACCTATATCATAAAATTGTTTTGTGCATGTCACTCTCCAAGTTAATGGAATAATATTATATACCATGCTGGGTATGGTCTTCTTGCAAAATACCATCAGATCTGGAAAAGAAAACCAAGACCTTGTGAAAAGTCCCACCTTCATCTCAATGGAAATGGAATCAAGAGACCTCGCGGTGGAGCTAGCTAGGATGGTCATTGGTCTGTATGGTTCAAAAAGCATTGGATTCTTCTTATAAAACTGTTCGGGGAAGATCTCTTACCATTCAAAACTTTGCAAACTGGAAACTCAGGTAGTTGCCAATTTCCTTTGTTGGCTATCTCCAAAGCTGTTATCTCAGGGTGTTTGAGAGTAGGAAAAATCACAACCGACCCTCTCTCAAGAAAATTAATTACATGCGAAATGTGGATCGTTGTTAAAATAAAAGCGTGACTTATTTTTTTCTCAAATAAAATTATTGTTGGATCTTATTTGTGATAAATTTTTTTGAGAGGAGGTTGAATGTGATTCTCTCTTAAAAATAGTTCTGAGGGCATCTTGCTTCTGGACATAACTCATTTGCATTGTCATTTTTCTAAATGTCTCTTCTTTGCATGTGATGCTAATTTTTTCTTTAACTTTTCTTTTTCACCGGGGATTGTTGTGTCCATTTAACTTTTTTTGTTTCTTTTTTAACTATTTTCGTTAATCATATATGCTATTTTATTTCTATATTAATAATATTGTTCTCCTTCAAACAAAATTAATAGAATAATAGGGAAGATCACACCCAGGGCTTTAGAGGAGACCCAGTGCATTTTGAAATTATTTTGCAGGTTTAAAGGCTTTTTTTATAAATATATTTTAGGGAAAAAAGACATAATTGTCCTAAGTGAAAAAAGATAGCAAATGAAAATTCATATTTTTATAGCAAGATGTTCACATATTCACAATTTTATGATTAGAAATTAACAAATAATTATTTATTGATAGTAAAATTTTTATTTAAAGTTGACAAGTTTGTGTTAGTCAAGTTTACACATTTATAATTTAAAGTTTGAATATTCACAAATACAGGTTCATTATTGACAAGGCACGGCCCATAATTTATGACTTTAAATATTCAGACCTAAAATTTATTCTGACTGCAAGTTCAAATTTTTGTAATTATATATTTATAAATTCATAACTTTATGTTCACAAATTAATAAATAATTGTCCTTTGATAGTTAAATTCCTGTTCAAAGTTGACAAATTCATTTTTACCAACTTCAAAAATTTACAACTAATTAAAGTTTGAATATTTATAGATACATATTCATCTATTAATAAATTAAAATCTGTAATTAATGATTTCATATATTCAGAGCTAAGCTTCATCGTGTTAGCAAGTTTAGATCTTTACAATTAAATGTTTACAAATTCATAATTTTATGTTCACATATTAGTAAATAATTATTCACTAATAATGAACCTAAAATTTTTCTTTCCTACTAAGGGCAATTGTGTCTTTTCTTTCTAAAATATATTTATGAAAAGAATCCTCAGATAAACAGAATAATTTCAAAATGCATGAGGTCCTAAGTGCGTTTTTTCTCCAACGAGGGCTTTATATGCAATTTTTCTAAATTAATATCCTCCCTACAACTCAAGCCATGAGAATCTCCTGGATTTTGGTGACCCAGCCAATGCCAATTGAAGACTTCCTCGAATGACTTGTAGTTGAACTAGTTATTATTGAATTAATATTGTTTTAATATATTTTTATATTAATACATTTTTAATCTAGAGCTAAAACATAAATTTTTCCTAGACACATTTTCAGTGAGGCGTAGTTTGTTTCGCCTTTTTTCCTTTATCTTTTTTATTTTAAATTCCGTGAGAAAATGAGCACTTAAGAATTTTTTTTAAAAAACAGTGCGTATGTGTGAGTGAAAGCAAGGCCAAAACCTGATGAATTACTTCCAAAATTCTCTTATAACCTTAATGAAAAGTATACATTATATTTTTAAACAACTTTTTCATGGCAAATGTAAAGGTCTTCAAATAAGAGTTTTACACAAAGCAGAGTATGAATTAATATGCTTAAAAATATATTAAAATAAGTAAGGGAGAAAGAAATTGTTCAGGATTATTTATTTTGATTTAGCTCTAACTACCTAACATCTAATCCTAAAAAATTTTAAAATTTTTTTATTATAATCTAGAATTATTATTTATCTTATATCTATCATCATTGATACATAGAGCTTGAAATGACATGATTGTGGTCTTAAGAATACAAAGCTTCCTCAGCTCAAATCAATCAATCATCAACTTATATATACGAAGCTTGTAGATTCAACCTGATTGACAAGAAAAAGATTGATTTTCATTGGTTGATGGACTTAAGGTCAATGTTGATATCATTCTTTTATCGGATAATTTTATTGAACATTTCTCTTCATTGGTTAATGGATTGAAATTATTTTCTCGTTTTTCATTTATTTTTAATTTATTTTTATAGGAGCATTAAATTTCATTTTGAATTTCTACAGTCATTTATCATGAGAGTATTATATCCACCATTTTAGCATTTCTCCATGTTCTCAAGTTCTACAATATAAATATATATATATATATAGAGAGAGAGAGAATGTTTTTTTTCCCAATATGTGGATATCATTAATCATTGATGTCATACCTCAAAAATTAAATGTGATCGGCACGAAATGTGAGCACAAAACTCACATCCTTTAAATCTCGATCAGATAAACTCATAAGTTAACACTTTGAATACATTAATAGGATGATTAGAAATTTCTTTTACAATATTAAATTTGATGTTTAATCTCAAAGAAATATGAAGCTCCTACTTATAATTTACATGGAGAACATGAGGCCAGGCTCTAATATGAATACAACGTTCAAATCTTTACCAAATTAAAATTTATCTAAAATAATTCTTCCTTTTCAGTTCAGTAATACAACTCCTCGATGGATACCTCGAGATACAAGTTCAACTATTATCTAAGGTAAAAATATTTTTCAGTGAATAGCATCTCAAAATAAAATTCAAAGTAATAAAAGAAAGTAATATAAATAGAATAAGCATGAATTTAACTAAAATAATCAATTAAAAAAAGCAATGGTGTATAACTCAAACTAAGTATTTTTTTTAACTATCATACTTGTATTAAACAATGAAGAAATGTAACTTTCTCGTTATAATGAAATCCATTCACAAAAGTCAACTTGTTTAGTAAAATTCATTTAAAAAAATTAAGTTCAAAATATCCTTGAGCAAAATTTTTTATCAGAACAGATAACAAGTGTAGACACATAATCTATGAGAGTAAATAACAACAAGCGTGAATACATAATCTACGAGAATACATAACCAATCAAGTGTGGCTAAAAGCATGAAATAAGCATGGCAGGAGCCACAAAACCAGCGTGAGTACAATGCTCATGAATATCAATCTCTTCGTTTCACGTGTGTTAGCCTGTGCATGGGGCTAGCACCTCCTATAAAATACTCTACTAGTAAGGTGTACCATGACATATTAAAGGTTAACGGAACTATCTTTAGCAACTAGCGTTCTAATTCGATCTCACACTTTAAATCAAGCATACATGAGTCATAATAATAAATGATTTCCTAAACCGTAAAATCAAACATTCTCAATATATTAAATAATAGAAGACACTCAATCATAAAATAATTCTGACTCTTTTTATAAACCTTTGTATAGTAAAAACGTTTTTATTTATGATAGTTGATAATAAAATTTAAAATATAACAATATAAACAGTCATGAATACATTTAAATATTATTGTGAAGAGAATAAATTTATTAACAAATTATATAGGACACTATTCACTCACTTGAAATGTTTTTTTTTTCTTAATTCATAGTTCACTTATTACCACTTTACTCCAACTTCTCCTCTTTTAAATACCCTATAAAATATAATAAGATTTTAATAAATTTTTAATCAGTTGAATAGTTGCCTTCCGGCATGCATTAACATAAAGGTTTGAAACTTTTAGAGCTAGGACTTTTTACATAAAAGTCCCTCACTAGTCATTGTTGATTTCTCCATTTAAATACCATCTTTTATTAATCTTCTTATCAAAATACCAACTATACCTCATTTCAATTCCATTCATAAAAGTTTTAAGCATTCAAATCTTTTATCACATAATTCATTCACAGTCATTTATTTTTCAATAATTTAAATAACCACATCTTATTAAATTCACAATCAAATTTTTTTTGTTAATTTCAAATTATATTCATAAATCAATAATAACAACCATACTAAACACACTTCTCACAACAATTAATAAAATTTTAAAAAAATATATCATAATTAAACAAAACTCTCTAAATAAACATTTTATCAAACACTTTAAAACATCAATTCTTAAACAATTGCCAACCCCCCTCTTTAATTTCACTTTTAAAAATTTCATAGTATCAATATTGTAATCAATAACCACGTCAAATTTAATTAAAACTCAACCCACACCACCACCATCATCTTCTTTCTATTACTGTAAGTTTCAGCTTAATTAATTCAAGCTAAGATTCCCTTTCATATACACACACAGCCACGAACAGCAGTAACAGAGGAGAGAAAAATTTTCCAACTTCAATTATTAACTCACATACACACACGAGAACATCAAGAAGGAAGGTTCACAACCACTCACAACCACAGCAACAATTTCTTCAATCCATACACGCGCACAGAACCGAGGAGGGAGGAAGAGATTTCAAGATCGTTACCTCTAATCAACAATGGTGAAAGCTAAGAGGAGATGCTGCTACTTAAACAAGGAAGAAAAGGTGAACACAGACCAGCGATGTGCGAAACAGAGGTAAAGGGAGGAGACTATGGCAGCAACCCACACAGCAGCGCGCCATATGGGAGAAACAGGGGAAGAAGAATGACGGAGGAAAGGATTCTGACACCACAGTCGATAATGACGGCAGCGAGAAGGAGAAGAGAAGTTCAGAGGTTAAGGTTTCAATGCTCTCTGAACAAAGAAAAACTCTTTTCCCTCTATCGATTCATCTGACCAATACCCAACTCCTCCCCTGTTCTTGAATGCTCCAACAGCAGAGAAGTGAAGGAAGAGACGAAGATGATCCTACTCAGTACTCACCACATACGACATCAAACGACAAAGAAGGAAGAAAAAAGGTGGAGTCCAGCACATTGAATGAGAGAAGATGAACGTGAATTGAGGAAAGAGGGAGGAGAAATTTCTAGATCCAAAGAGAAAGACGGCTGTCGGTATCTTCTTCCCATATTCTGATCTTTTATCGACAAGTAAGGCGACAAAGAGAGTATATTTTATTTCTTTGCCAAAATTACAAATAAGACCCAAATTTGAAAAAAAAAACAAAAAATATGTGTCGGTGAATTCATAAATGCTAGGAATAATAAAAATATACTCTTTAAATTTAAAAATATAAAATATTTTTAATTAAATTTTATTCTTCAATAAAGTAATTACCTATTTTCAAACTAATTTTATTTTTTTATATTTATCCTTATTAAATACTCTATGATAAATATAAAGTCATTATCACTACGGGTACTTTAAAAAAAAAGATAATGATTATACCTCAAAATATTAAAAATGTCTTATATTTTTGAACAATCAACTCTTTAAAAATACTTTAGTTTTTAAATAGAGAGAGTATATCTAAATGTCAAAGCTAAATTTTAAACCTAAATTCATAAAAGATGTCATATGATTTTTTTTAACTTTTCACATTTCCGCAATTTGAATCTACTTCTCTTTACATTTACTAAAATCAAATTTTATTTTACTATAATACTTAAGTTGTCATAACCCATCATTTTCTTGTTGCCAATTTAAAATTTTAAATATAGATATGAAATATAAAAATTTAATTATATGTTTTTCCACTATACATAGTATTATTTTTCTTTTAAATCTCATATTCTTATATATATATATATATATATATATATATTACTATTGATTAATGAACTCTCTGTGTTTTTTTTTTTTTTTTAATTATTCTAAAATTCTTAAGTCATTACAATCGATTTGCTTTTTCATAGCCTTAATGGATTATAAAAGCTTAGATGAGCCTTTAATCATCGATCAACCATTGCTTACAAATAGGTTTGTTATTAATGATGAAGAGCTAGGTGGTCAAGGTGGAGGAGTTTCGCTGCTCTACCCATTGCTAAATCATTTGTTTGAGGCAATTATGATCTAGGTAAGAATGGCCACTGCAATGGAATCTAATTCCAATGGTCGAATTCAAACAATTGAGACTCATAAAATGCCTATCTATGAGCAGTCTAGAGAGCAAAAAATTAAAGTATGAATACACCACCCTTGTTACCTCAACATTTAACCAAAGCCATCATGGTGATACAAAACTCATGCTAGCTAATTACCACATAATGATTAAAATGTTAAACTGTAGTTATAAAAGGATTAATTATAGTGATAGGATAAATTCTACCATAATAGAATAATTTAAAACCAAGTAAATCATACTTAATGAAAACCCAAATAATCAAACCCAACTTAACATAATAGTAAATATGGGATCCCAAGTTTGATAATTTAAATACCTTAAGGGGAAGAACTTATATCGAAGTTATAAACTATATAGAACCATAGGATGCCAACAAGACTTGAAAACATCTGAAAATAGAGTCAAAAATATCATTTTCCAACAAAATGAGCAATCCACCGAGGCTAAGGAACAACAGATTACGGCTAACTAATATTATGCTATATGTTGTGGCGCATTACATAGAATTGATGACAACGACTTGCTATCAAATCTCTAAATTGAAGGCCAAACTTCTAGTATGCCTAAATCTCCATCTAACATTCAATTAAAGTGACATAGGTGTCTACAAAAATCTTATTAAATGAACTAGCTAATGGCACTAGTTTCATTTTCAAATTATTTTATATTGAAGAGTTGAGTACCCAAATCCAAACTAATCACATTTTCACACTTTTTCACAATTAGGATGTTCTAAATCAAATCAAAGTGCCAAAACTCACCTCAGCACCTAAATCACATTCAAAGGACTTAAAATAAAATATGCAACACACCATTACAATCCAAAACCACATAAATCTCAATACCAACCTCAACCCCTTAATTTTCAAAGCAACAGGTAAAGGTTTCCAACATTAAATATCAATGAAATTATTCACAAGCGTCCATATAACTATAATCCTATTTGCACTAATATTTTGGCTCTAATTAGATAACTAAAATTGCATAACCCATGCCCTAGACTTAAAATACAATCTTCCTAACTAAACATGCAAATGGTGGAAGTACAAATCAAAATATGGACCTAGGTGGCAATTTCAATTACAAAACACGTATTTAAACTTTAATGCAAGAGGTCTATAGTAGGAGACAAGATTCCTAAGCTTTTGGTACTTTTCCTTTGTTTTACTCAGAGCCAGTGCCTATAAAAAATTAAATAAAAGGATGAGTACAATTACTTAGTGACTAAGATAGTCAACTATAGTAATACAAAGTAGGCATGGTTAATCCACCAATAAACAAGGTTGTTATTCTAAGAGTTGAAACTACTATCAAAGCGTCAAATTGTATTTACATTATTTGATTGTGGATTCCTTTTTCTTTACTTCAGTTTGTGTGCTATTGAGAGTGAATCTCATCATTATCAAGTTTTGAGGCATACCAATAGATTGCAACGCAATCCATGTAAGTCACTTGAAATATACATTTGGATTTTGTTGTAAATAAAACTTCGTTGAATCTTCATTCAACTATCAAATTTTGCATTAATGCCTGAATGTGCAACAGATGGATTTTAGTCAAGCCATAAGTCCACAATGCTTAAAGTCGTTTGATTTTGTTGGCTTAGCAAATCAAGATCAATTCTTTTATCCCATGTAAAGGCATACACAATTTTAGGGACATATCATCTTTTGTATCCATCAATCTTATTTTATTGGCTTATATATTATATTACTTACATTCTTCTTTGAAGTTTGCTTTTATTCTAGTCCTCTTAGTATGTTTCTTAATTCTTTGATCATATTATGTTTTTTGTTTTTCCTAATTATAGATGAGGAAATAACATCTAATAGCTACCATCTTCAAATGTCACAAGCCATAACCAAAAATATCCAAAAAGGCCACCAATACGAACCAATTTGAAAATTGAATATTTAGGACATGCAGTTAACAGAGAGAAATAAACACATTCTTTACTTCAGAGAGAAAACCCCTTATTAGTTACTAAGCTTGATGCCACATTGATTTAAACCTTATGAAATATTAGTGTTACCGAATGCAACAATTTTAAAACGATAAATTCTTTGCTTTATATATAGTCTTGTTCATTTAATCCATTTTTTATTTGTGTTGGTGGCCACCGATTTAGCAAATATCATTTGTAGACTTCAACATATGACCCTAAAAGTCCACTTGTATTCTCATAAATCAATTTAATATGATAGATATATCTAGCTTTTAATTGATCACATCTTAGTATGTAGGTTATTTATGACAAACATCCTATGCAGACTACCACACTTGCTCTAAAAATTTCTCACAATTGTTAAAATACACAACCCTTATATAACAATCAAAGATCACAACCTTACTACTAACTAATCCCTATACATAAGACATACACAAGATTAATTATTTATTACAACCATACATACTCAGCCAACTATCATGTACAACAAGTCCTAGTATGACACAATAATACTGATGAATAAGTATAACATAATATATAAAAGGACATTAGACAAGTAAATATTATTTGATCCTTAACACGCGTGATTCTTCATTTTCTATAGATAATCACATATCCTTCATCTGGATTAGAGGGTGCTAGAAGTTAAATACTAGGACCTTTGTGGTTGGCATTGCTTTTCACTTCAGCTATATTTGCAAGGAGAAGAAAGGGATAATAGGAAATATATCTGATGAATGGTATGGTTGAAGAGGATGGTAGCCAAAAGAGGGTATACAAGAACACAATCATGAAGATCAAAACCACACTCAACACCAAGAAGGTAGTGGCCAACCAGCTAAGTTTGCTTACTACAAGGTATACACCTGCCAAAAAAGCCAGAGATAGTGTTGTCAAAGAAACACCTAGGACTGGCATTGCACAGTTCAAAGCAAAAAGCATCAAATGGAGATCATCTAAACGAGCCCACATGAGAATTATAGTTGTAATAATAGCCCCAAATACAGAGATGGTGAGGGAGAGAATGAACAAATGGAACATGACATGATTCAGCATAACAGCTGTTCCTTGATCCACGTCACCCGGCATAGCAAACCCAGTAGCAAAGGATGCTGTTATTATAAGGGTTGAAACCAATATCAAAGTGTCAATTCTGTCTTTATATTGTTCGGTGCTAGGAGATTCTTGTTCTTCACCAACTTTTGTGTCATTTGAAAGGAACCTAAAAGAACTTCGAGGTGTACCAGCAGATTGCAATGCACTCCATGTAAGTCGCTGCAAATAATTAAACACATTCATTTTTGCTATAACAAAAGACTATCATTAACTCTTCAAAGAAGAATAATGATTTTGATTAAAAAAATTGAACTCATTAAATGATAAATAGTAACTTACTTGTGCAAGGGATGGATTTTTGTCATGCCTTAAGTCAGCAATATCTTGAGCTGTTTGGTTTTCTTGGTTAAGTATAGCAAGATTGACTCTATTGTCCCAAGTCAACCAATGCACAATTTTAGGGTGCCAGTGAAGGGTGGCCAAATGTAAAGGAGTATTCCCATTATTATCCTTCTGGTTTATCATAACCTCAAGCTTAGGATGTTGGAGGATGTACCTAACTACCTCATATTTTCCACTTTTAGCAGTAATATGGAGCAAATTTTGGCCATTTTTGTCTAGCATCTCTGTGGGATCTGGGTAGTATTTTAGTAGCTCTTTAACTACTTTTAAGTGACCTTTACTACATGCCAAATGAATAGGAAAGAAGCCATTATTGTCCCTTTCCATGATGCATGAAGAACATTTCTTTACCAAGTAGGAAACACCTTTATAGTACCCCGTAGAAGCTGCCTGATGAAGAGGAAGCTTCCCTTCTTCATTTCTCAAGTGTATCCACTTTGGTTTCTTGCTCAAAATGGCATGGAACATATCTGTGATAAACAAAAATAATAATAATAATAATTAGGATTCATATGTTGGCAAATGAAGAATGTTTTAGTAATACAGTGAAGAAACAAATCCTTGAGTTAATGACAATTACCCATATTTTTCTTGATAAGTGCTGGAACAAAGGGAGATTTTCCTTGAGGCTTCAAGTCAAATTGGATGCAGATATCCAATAGTTGATCAACAACTTGCTTACATCCAACCTCAATGGCCACATACAGTAATGATTTTCCTTCACTATTGATTGTAAATGCTGCTAGTTGATTAACAATTCTCTTGAACTCAGTCTCAAGCTCTGAACTATCCTTAATGAAAGGGGCTTCAAAGGCGTGAAAAATCCTAGCCCCATTATGGGCATTGACCATAAATGCCTCATGAAAAAATGTGTTTCCTTGTTTGTTTCGTAACAAAGAAAGAGATACCAAGAGCATCATTTGCAAAGTGGATTGATCTTGCTGATAACCATCTGTTTCACGTCTTAAAAAAGCCAACCAAGTATTCAAGAGGAATTGAATGGTTGACCCATGGCCTTTTCTTGCAGCAACATGTAATACAGTATCATAGTTGTTGTTGGTGACTGTAAAAAGATAGGGAGCTTGTTGAGCCACCTTCTCTACCATTGCATTATTTCCATAGGCAGCTGCTATATGCAAGACTGTATTCCCTAAAGGAGTGCGTTGCTTATAAATAGCACTATCAGTTATAATGAAATCTTTGTTTGAAGTGGCAACGTTGGAATCCATGGAAACATATGCTGCTGTAATCAAGTTCAAATCTTTGTTGGGCCCATGTTCATGCTCTGTTAACTTGTGCTTCAAACCTGACGATGAAAATTCCATCCCTTTTGAGAATCTCACCACTCGCATTTGAATGTCCCCCATTACTTCTCTTGGAGCTAGAGGCATATCTTCCTCATCAGTATGTTCACTTTCTCTATTATTGTTTGACTTTAACTTGAATGCTCTCCCTCTTCCTTGGACTCCATGGCTTTGCTCGAACACAATTGTTACTTCAGATGGTTCACTTGATGATGAGAAGACATATTTCCAATCGGAATCTAAAAAACATTATGATATGTCAATGATTCATTTTGTATAATGGCAAAGCTTAGTAACGAAAAATTCACATACCGCAATATATTTCAGTATTAGATTCACTAGGCCATGAGAAGAAAACATACCCTCGAACAAAACCTGATAGTTTTGCTTGAAATTAGATTCTGTGCGAAGCAAGTTATGTGTAGAAAGCAAGACTTTTAATTGATTCATTTCAAGTGATAGTAAAACAAAGGAATGAGAATGGCATACCCTTTTGATTTTCATTTGCAGTGATTGTTCTAGAATATCTTATCTCCAGCTCGTGTTCTGTTCGATCCTCTTTCATCTCAGGTACAAGCCAAGTTATTCCATCTTCTCCTCAAACAAAAAAGCAAATAAATAAATCATATGTTATATATTTTGTAAAATTTTTATGTTAAATATTATGTATCACAATTTACAAGTACGTCATTTCAATCTTATTTGTCGTACTTGAAAAAAATATAATAATTTTTTCTAATGGTGTCTTTGGTTTGGATTAATGAAAATTTAAATTTGAAGCAAATTCTTAATTTGGATATAATAAAATTTATGAAGTTGAAAATCTAAATTTAAATCGTATTTTTTAATATAATTTTTTTATAATTTTAAATTTATTTTATACTTTAGTCATTTAAATTTTTTATTATATTTATGTTTTCATGAATGCATCTATGACTGTTGTTTATTTTTTTCATTTCTCATTATCGCCTCTCGTTAATTGAAAAATAAAAGTAAATTCATCACTCCTAATTTTCTATTTTTGTTTCAAAGTTCAACTCATTTCTTTTCTTTATTTAAAATGTTTTTAAGCTATCCAAATAAAAAGTTTTAAATATATAAATTTAAATTGTAAAATTTTTAAAATACAATATTTTAAATCTGAAAGCCAAATTAAAATGCATTTATCCAAATGCTACCTAAAGTCATTTTAAGCAATATTACCAAAAAAATCAAAAGAATAAATTTATATTAAATAAAGTTACACATATCTTAATTTATTAGTGTAAAAAATAAAAAGCAAACCGAAAATAAAATATAACGGGACGACAAGAGTTAAGTCCCTGTTTAAATGTCTAAAAAATTAATTTTAAATATTAATTTAAATAGTTACAAAATAATTTAAAAGTTATATTTGATATTTAAACACTTATTTGTAATTGATACTTTCAGATTTTTAATTATTTTGATTGATATTTTTAACTTATTTTTTAAAAAGATTTGTCAAGAATTTTATTTTCATTAATGTAATGTTTTGAAACTTATCTAGTATCCTCTCAAATATAATTTAGGCCATGTTTGCCATTATTGAACTTGTAATGTAGAAATGGAATCGGATAGAGAATCTTAATTTAATCATATTCGGTATATAGGAGTTGCAACTCTCAAGAATTCTCATTCTATTAAAAATGCTAGAATTCAATTCCATCATAACAATTAAGGAATTGCTCCAATTCCTTCTAATTCACTTTGTGTACTACACTATCCTCATCTTTTTTTGTCTACTTATGATGAAAGAGGTCGTTTTAATTTTTTTAAAAGGGGGGCAACTTGGTCATTTCTTATTTTAAATACACATACTAATTTAAATTATACTAGAATTCTATTTTTATACCATATTTTTAAAATCTAATTCTATTTTGATTTTGATTTCAATTTTATTAAAAATTCTTTCATCATATCAAACGAGACCTTAATTTTTTATAAGATCCATTGGTTGTGGTTTTTGAAATGTGAAATTTGTGTTTTAATCATAACAAAACTAAAATATATCTCTTTTCTCTTCTCTAAAATAAACAAGAGATCAGTAAAATCCCTCTTCTCCCTGTCCATTAAACTATAAAGTATAAACAAACCCTTGTCCAATTGCTCAATTGAGAGGAAGAAGATCAATATCCTTAATAAACATTTGAGTTGAGAATATCTAATGACTTGACATAAATTAAAAGAAGAATACAATAAAGAGAGACATTGAAGAAAATGGCCAAGAGTTGGAAGCACTTACTGCTGTCTGGCCTTTGTAATTCCATCTGCGCAATCGGTGATGAACCTTTCACTTTGCGGGCTCCTTTTTCCTTTATTATATATGCTAATTCTGAAATTATATCACTTCGTCAAAAGATGCTTTAGTTATAAAGCATTCTATTATTTTGTCATGATAATAATAATTACGAAACATTGATATCAATATTAAACTAAACGTATTTTAATTAAAATAAAGCTATGTACATATATTAAAAACATTTAATTAGTTGACTAAAAAGAAGCAGAGCACTCCAGCAGTAATATGAAACCAAACCAGAAAAACAAGCGGCTTGTTTTGGCCATTTTAAGTTAGTATGAACTGTTCAATGAACCGGATTGAGCCGTTTAAACGGGAAACCAAGCAGGGTTGGATAGATGGGGTTTTGATTGAACTAAAGAGAACAAAAGGGGAAGAAGCATCAGCAAAAATCCCAGAACCTACCTTGTCGATTGAAAAGCTTGGAGACGAAACTGAAAAAGATGATCGAAATGGAAACTGGAGAACCTGCTACGGCCTTGGAAACCAAAAGTACTTATCCGGTTGCGGTGGATTCAGGAGTCAAGACGAAGAAAGAAGAAACACAATGAAGGACGTGATGGAAATGAAACCCAAACGAAAAGATAACATAATTGAAAGCCATAGGCCCAAACCTAGCCTGTCAATCATCGTGTTGGGGTGGGTGAGAAAGAGAGCAAGGGAATGAGTGCTGTGAAAGCAAACATGATAAATGTCATGTCATGGTAAATCCGGATTAACATGTCGGTTGCACCGTAAACTTTTAAATTAATATCTTAATTAATATAATAAAATATTTTATTTATATTAATTTGATCGTAATTTTAATTATTATCGTTTAAAACAATACTTTAATTAATTGAGTGATTGATTTAATTTTCAATGCCTCAACAAATATTGAAATATTCTCTTATTTTATTTTTTACGATATTTTTTATCATCATTTGACCTCTTAATATATCATAAAATTAATGTCTCTCTCTCTCTCTGTCATTGTATATTTAGACTAATTTTTGAATTGTATAATTTAAATAAATTTTAATTTATTTATGTAACTGATTTTTAAAAAAATATTTAAATATAAATGACATTACAATCACAAACTTTTATCTTAATCTTCATTTACAAACCTCAATTTATTATAATCCCAATTGAAAATTTTTAATCCAAACATGCAAACACACTCCGAAAAAATGGGAGGATGAAGGGATTTGGTAAGAAGAGGGAAGCTTTCTTCTTCTTCTTCTTCTATTTTTTTTTTTTTTACCAGTAGTAAGAAGAGGGAAGCTTGTTCCTATTAAATGTATTATTGTTAAAAGCATTTTCTTTTTCTTGTAACTCTTTGTTTTTAGCTCATTGGAAATTATGAAAATGTAAAATTAAAAAAAAATTATTTTTTATACAAATTGATTTATAAAAAAACCATAAACTTTTTAGGATGTGATTAATATACAAGACTCGAAGGAGCTAGGTATAGATGTAGCACTCACGGGTGTCTGACCACTGCGATTCCATTTGCAGAATGAGCGATGAACTTTCAACATAACTGCCTCTGCGTTTCCACTGTGAGACTGTAAGACCTTCACGAGGCTGCTTTATTTATAGGAACCAGGACCCACCCATCAGCTTCAATTATTTTGTTCTCTTCACTAATTCCAATTGCTTTTCTCTCTCACATGGAGGGCACTCAACTTCCTTTCTTTAAAAATTATTTTATTATATATATTTATTATTACAAAATATAATATCCATACATTTTCTCGACAACCCAAAGGAACCAATCAAGAATGAACAACCCCGATTGCAATGTCCGGATAAAAGTCAGCCCTAAATGTCACTTCTCTGCATGTGATGCCAATTTTTTCTTTAACTTTTCTTTTTCACGCCACTTGTGTCCATTTAACTTTCTTTTTTTGGTTTCTTTTTGAACTCTTTTTTATCTTATGTACTTTTTTATTTCTATATCCATAATATTGTTCTCCTTCCAAAAAAGAATTAATAGAGTAATAGGAAAAATCACGTCTAGGGCTTTCGAGAAGATCCAATGCATTCTGAAATTATTTTACAAATTTAAAAACTTTTTTTAATGAATATATTTAAGAGAGAAAAGACATAATTGTTTTTAATAAAAAAAGATGGCAAATAGAAATTCAGATTTTTATAGAAAGATGTTCACATATTTACAATTTTTTAATTAGATATTAACAAGTAATGGTTTATTGATAGTAAAATTTTTGTTTAAAGTTGATGAGTTTATGTTAGCCAAATTCACAAATTTTTATAATTACTTGTTTACAAATTCACAACCTTATATTCACAAATTAACAAGCAATTCTCCTTTGATAGTTAAATTCTTGTTCAAAGTTGATGAATTTTTTTTGCCAATTTCATAAATTTAAAATTTAAATATTTATAAATACAGATTCATCTATTCACAAACTAAAATCTATAATTAATTATTTCATATATTCAAAATTATGTTTTATCATGATAGCAAGTTTAGATCTTTATAATTAAATGCTCACAAATTCATAATTTTATATTTATATATTAATAAGGAATTGTTCACTAGTAGTAAACTTAAAATTTTTTTTCTTACCAAGGGCAATTATATCTTTTCTTTTTAAAATATATTTATAAAAAGAATCCTCAGATCTCAAAATGTTTGAGGTCCAAAGTGCATTTTTTCTCCAACGAGGGCTTCATATGCAATTTTTCTAAATTAATATCCTCCCTACAAGCTATGAGAATCTCTTGGATTTTTGTGACCCGGCCAATGCCAATTGAGGACTTCTTCGAATGGCTTGCAGTTGAACCAGTTATTATTAAATTAATATTATTATAATATATTTTTATATTAATGTATTTTTAATCTAGAGCTAAAATACAAATTTTTCCTAGACACATTTTCAGTGAGGCGTAGTTTGCTTCGCCTTTTTTTCTTTATCTTTTTTATTTTAAATTCCGTGAGAAAATGAGCGTTTAAGAATTTGTTTTAAAAACAGTGTGTATGTGTGAGTGAAAGCAAGGCCAAAACCTGATGATTTACTTCCAAAATTCTCTTATAACCTTAATGAAAAGTATAAATTATATTTTTAAACAACTTTTTCATGGCAAATGTAAAGATCTTCAAATAAGAGTTTTACACAAAACAGAGTATGAACTAATATGCTTAAAAATATATTAAAATAAGTAAGGGACAAAGAAATTGCACTTAGCTCTAACTACCTAACATCTAGTTCTAAAAAATTTTAAAATTTTTTCATTATAATCTACAAGTTTAATCTAGGACTATTATTTATGTCTTCTATCAATCACCATTGACACATAGAGCTTGAAATGAGATGATTATGGTCTTAAGAATACAAAGCTTGCTCTACTCAAATCAATCAATCATCAACTTATATAAATAAAGCTTGTATATTCAACTTGATTGGCAAAAAAGATTGATTCTGATTGATTGATGGACTTAAAGATAATGTTAATATCATTCTTTTATTGGATAATTTTATTGAATATTTCTCTTCATTAGTTAATGGATTGAAATTATTTCCTTATTTTTTATTTATTTTTAGTCTACTTTTATAGGAGCATTAAATTTTATTTTAAATTTTTTCAATCATTTATCACGAGAGTGTTACATTCACCATTTTAGCATTTCCTCATATTCTCAACTTCTGCAATGCAAATATATATATATATAGAGAGAGAGAGAGAGAGTGTGTGTGTGTGTGTGTGTGAAATATTTTTCCTATATATAGATATCTTTAATTATTGATTTTCTTTTTCGTAGCCTTAATGGATTATAGAAGCTTAGATGAGCCTTTGATCATCAGTGAGCCATCACTCATAAATGGGTTTTGTTATTGATGATGAAGAGCTAAGCGATCAAGGTGAAAGAGTTTCGCTGCTCTTCTCATTGCTACATCATTTGTCTGAGGCAATGATGATATAGGCAAGAATAGCCACTTCATTGAAATCTAGTCCTAATGGTTGAATTCAAATGGTTGAGACTCGTAAAATGTCTATCTATAAGCAGTCCAAAGAGCAAAGAATCAAAGTGCAATATATACCACCCTTATTACCCCCATTTTAACCAAAATCACCATGGTGATACAGGACTCACCCAAGCTAATATCATACCATAATTAAAATTTTAAACTATAGTTATAAAAGGATTAATTATAGTGGTAGGATAAATTCTACCATAATAGAATAATTCAAAACCAAGTAAATCATACTTAATGAAAATTTAAATAATCAAAGCCAACTTAAAAACACAATAGTAAATATGGGATCCCACGTTTGATGATTTAAATACCTTAGTTCTAAGCAAAAAAAGAACTTATATCAAAGTTATAAACCATAAGGAACCATAGGATGCCAACGAGACTTGAAAACATTTAAAAATAGAGTCAAAAATATCATTTTCCAACAAAAAGAGCAATCCACCAAGGTTAAGGAACAATGCATTATGGTTAACTAATACTGTGCTATATGCTGTAGCACATTAGATAGAATTGATGACAGCAATTAACTTGCTATCAAATTTCTAAATTGAGGGCCAAACTTCTAGTGTGCCTAAATCCTCATCGAATGTTCAATTAAAGTGATATAGATATCTACAAATTTAATGAACTAACTAATAGTACTAATTTTATTGTCAAATTATTTTATACCAAAAAGTTAGACACCCAAACTCAGTGACTTTTTCACACTTTTTTACAATTAAGGTGTTCAAAACCCAATCAAAGTGCCAAAAACTCACCTTAAGACCTAAACCACATTTAAAAGATGTAAAATAACATATGTAACACATCACAACAATTCAAAACTACATAAATCTCAATATCAACCCTCAACCTCTTAATTTTCAAAAGTAACAGGTAGAGGTTTCCAATTAAATATCAATGAAATCATTCACAAGCATCCATATAACTATAATCCTATTTGCACCAATATTTTGGCTTTAATCAAATAACTCAAATCACATAGCCCATACCCTAAGACCTAAAATGCAATCTTTCTAACTAAACATACAAATGGCGCAAGTACAAATCAAAATATGAACTTAGTTGGCAATTTTAATTACAAAACACTTATTTAAACTTTGATGCAAAAGGCCTATAGTAGGAAACAAGATTCCTAAACCTTTGATACCTTTTCTTTGTCTTGCTCAGAGCCAATGCTTGTAAAAAAAATTAAATGAAGGGGTGAGTGTAATCACTCAATAATCAAGATAGTCAACTATAGTAATACAAAGTAGGCAATTATGGAAATCATATTTACAACTATAGCGCATGTTATCAAAGTTACAAATTTATCAAGAATGTTACATTTATTCAATGAGATGTGTTATCAATAACCTTTCTTATAACCTTCTTATACTTTCGACTAAAATCATGGAATATTAAATCATATAGGGTTGCAGGTGTGAATGGACAAATCCAAGCTCACCAATCATGAAGAGCTACCTAATTAAAAGTTACTGCACTCACTCTCGAACTACAGTTTCTCTCATTCATAAATCCTAAAGGTGTCATTAACCTTAAATTAGTCTCTTGATAAATAGGGGGATACGTGGCTAGCCATTAGTTTTCAAATGGCAGTCATACCATATGTATTTTATTACTACTCCTCTCTTAATGTGAACTTTCACCAATCATGATCATGCAATATACACATACTTAACACACTAGCATGAAATTATTCATCTCACCATGCTCAAAGTCAATTAGCACATCCCATACCTCATTCAACATAATCATATTCACATAACATAATCTCTGTCAGATTCATCATATTCTAAAAAAAACCATAAAATTACCATTTGAATATCACATTATTGTTCATCACTTTTTTCATCATAATTCTTATCACAAAATCTCATTTAATTGTATAATACTTATCACTTCAACTATTAATTTCAAGAGTCACACTTGCATTTATACATTTCTAAACCATGAATCATATCATTGTAAATATGAAAATAATTTTATATGTTCAAAATGTGTTCACAAAGCTCTATAATCAATCAAACAAGCAATGCATACAATTAGATTTTCCCTGATAAACTTAAACCTTTGAAAGGTTAAAAGATACCCTTCAATCAAAAATTGATTCTCGAGCTAAACTCAAGCTCAATTTGTACATAATGTAGTTAATTTACAATTAAAAACATTAATAACACTATTTTTGCACTTCCAACACTCTTATTCTACACTTTAATCACCTAAAATCTCAACCTCTTGAGTTTACTCATAAATAATGGGTATATTGACTTTCATTAACTCCATTTAACTTTTTTGAACTTAGCTACCATCATTAATGACTCCCAACAACTACAACTCCTCACTTAAATGCACTATTTTCATCCAAAATAAGGATACACTCACATGTGTGATATGAATCATCAACCATAGGTGTAGATAGCTTAAACAAGCCCCATTTGAACTAATGAGTTTGAACCCAAAACCCTTAAGATTTGAAAATCAACTTTATATAGTAAACCCTAGTTATTCTAGCTAAAGAGAAAGGAGAAGGAAGGAAGAAGCTTAGGGAACTTACTTAAAGTGATTTGAGACTCTAAATCTTCTC